CCTTCAAGGCCCATCTAAAAACTTGTAGAACAGCTTGCAACTCCTTCCTACAGCTGTTATAATCCCCATGTGACTTTGGAGGCGCCAGTGTGCGAGTCGAAACCCCCAAACAACCACCAGGTTGCACAACTTTTCAAAGCCACCTAAAGCACCCCCACAGTCTTTTAATATACACGTCCCTACAGAACTATGTCTTCACTCTCTCTTTCTCTCTCTCTCTATATATACATATATATATATATACATTTGTATATACATGCATGCATGCATGCATACATACATATACATATATATATATATACAGTCTGGTAATATATATATATATATGAGAAAGGGGCCAATGGAGTACCCGGGCTGGGACACGACAGTAGGGTTCGGCTGAGCCGAGGCCGCGCTTCGAGCAGTGGCGGTTTTGGCTGCGCCGCGTCTGCGGCTCCAAAGGCGGGGACTTACGGTGTAGGGTCTAGGGCTCTCAAAAACCATCTGAATAGGGGTTTTGGGGGTTCGGAGAGTTTTCGGGATTTAGCATCAAGGAACTTCAGCTGCAAGAGGGATTTAGACCTCCCACATGATATAGGGACGGTTTGTTGGAATGATGGCTGAACCTGACGACGGAACACACAATCCACGGCTTAGGGTCGGGATTAGGGTTCATAGTTCGAGTAGATGCTTGTTTTTGGGGTTCGTAATGGTAGTCCTTTCTACTCCCCCCCTCTTTCAAACTACAGCATCATGCCTACAACAGCTCAAGGCCTCTAAGTTCCCGGAAGAAAGCTAGCGCAACTCAGAAGCCTAGTATGCGGGGCCGCCCCCAAGATGTTGCAGCATACCGGTCGACCTTCCACGTGACCACAGGATGGCCCGCAACAGCAATGATAGTAGCAATAATCATAATCAGAAGAAAACCAATGGCAATGGTAATATTGGTTCGAAGAATGATAACACTAATTACTAGTCATGATCGAACAGGACCCATCGTTTGCGGTGTGCTGCTGGGGCTCTATTTGGCTCCTCGGCAGCGGCTATGTTGAGCCAGGGATTGAAGGGAGGTCATGATGTTTGCCCTTGGGTTCCCCAAATCCTAAGGAAAGCCTCAAGTTAAGCCCAAGGTAGAGTTCATAATAAAGAAGTCTGTGAACTCTTGCAGAATACAATCCTTTCAGAAATTTAAGGCTCGGGGCCTTGAGGCCAGCACCTCCAGGCAAAGCACTCCATCTCGGTGTGCCGCGAAGTTTGAGTTCTAGGCCAACCCTAGGCCCTAAACCCCCGATAAGCCCTAAGTCGCATAATCCCAGGAAGCCCTGAAATAGTAACTTTAAAACCCTGGCCTAAACCCTAAACCCTATAAGCCCCAAAGCCTAAAAAAATCCCATGGTTCGAAGCTCAGGCGACACGGCCGCGATCCGAGCGCGTCGCGGGAGCGCCCTTGGTGGCCTCGGCCGATGCCCCCTGGAAGGCGCCCGGACTTGGGGGCTCAGCGGCTTGAAGAGCGTAGGGTTTTGGGATTGGGGGTCTGAAGGTTTAGGGCTTAGTAGGGTTTAGGGTTTAAGCTTAGGGTTTTGGGGTTGAGGGTTTGAAGGTTCAGGGCTTTAGGGCTTAGGGGCTTTGGGGTTTAGGGCCAAGGGGTTTAAAAGTTTAGGGTTTATAGGGCTTAAGGTTTAAAAGTTTAGGGTTGACGGTGTAGGGTTGAGCAAAATTCAACGAAACCATTTCGGAAGCCCATGGGTTCAAGGGGGGTTGGCACTTTGGGTTCGGAAGTTCATTGTGATCATACATATATATATATATAGAGCGAGAGCGAGAGAGAGAGAGAGAGTTCGGGACTGCAGAGTCTGGGCATTTCGGGCACGAAAAAATGCTGCGAAGGGGTGTGGAGCTCGGATCGTTGGGTATTTCGGTACTGTGTTCTTGCTTTCATCGGCTGCACTCTCGCAACCAACGATGTGTGTGTGTATATATATATATAGCTGTTCTTGAATTAGGAGTTTTTCCTCTCCGGCGACAAGGGAGTATGCAACGAGGGTTCTGGGGGGGCCCGGGCTGATGGCAAACAGATTCAGACAACGTACGGATGCTCAAAGTGGGAGTGGGAGAGTGGATCCCTACAAGAGTCCTTAAAGGTAATCTCGTACTAATACTAGTCCTCATTTTCCCTCCTCCACTCCCTCTTGAGCACTAGTGCGACAAAAGACCCTCAACTGTCGGATCCTGAGTTTCAGGACCACCCCGAAATTGAACGCTCGGCTCCTGGGGTTTAGGGTTTAGGGTTTCGGAGACATCCCTGCAAAGCCACGACGGGCTCAAACACCGCAGAAATTCGCTTTCAAAAAGTTCCCGAATCGAGGAACCATTCAAAGCCCCTCTACATTCTCACTCACGGCTTTTCTTGCCCGGAGGCGCTAGCAGAAAACCTTGTCGAGACACCTTTGCCTCGAGCTCACAAAGAGGAGCTGACGACAGTGTTTGGGGGTGTTTGGGGAGTTTAGAGTTTACGGTTTGTTGGTTCCGTGCCTTCACATATTTATTGAAAGGTTTCTCTTTCAACTTCCTACAGGGGCGTCTTTCTAGGGTTCTGCAAGTTTGTTTTTGTCATAAGTTCGATGAAAATGTTCGGTGCATGCGCTACAAGAGGGGGTTTCTGGGGCTTTGCGGTTCAGCCTTTAGAATATGGCGGGAGGGTTAAGGCTTTCGGACTTCGAGTGTTCGGTTTTTTTTTTTTAAGGGGCTAGGTTCTTCGCAGTAAGGTCCCGGGTAAGAAATCCGTGGTTCTAACTTGTCAGGATCCATTTAGCAGCCCTAGGAAGAGCCAGGTGTCTCTGCATCGGGGTGCTGCAGTACAAGACCCTACCATCCATGTACCAATCTAGTATACACTTTGACCTGAAAGTGCCTCTATATAACCATAAGCCCTAAACCCCTAAACCCCTAAACCCTAAACCCCTAAACCCCTAAGCCCTAAACCCGAAGCCCTTTCCAGGCTAAAGCATCTACGATCATGGACCTTTAGCCGCAAAGATCGGTTCGAGCTCTTGAGATTCTTCGGTGAGTCTACGCTTGCAGGGAGGTTAATTCTACCCTAAACCCCGAACATTACGCCTACTTAGTATCCGGAGCACAAGCCCCACACTCATGGTCCAACCTCTTACGAACTTTCTAGGAAAGCGATTGAGATATGTGACGACCCATACTGTAGGCCATGTAAAACCCAAAACCCTTGTAAACCCCTCCAGAACCCTTTTGCACCCCCCCTTCTCCCCAAAAGACAAACCCTAAACCATCTCTCTGAAAACAGCTCGTAGGATGCCAAAGCTGCTCCTCCGGCAAAGCCTGGGCTGGTAGAGGTCGAGGGGCCATCGCCAACGAAGGAGAGCCTGGGGTTCTGTATGCTTGTTCCCTTGCGGGGTGTTTTGAGGGCCTTTGGGTGTGAGGTTGGATTTCTGTGTCTTCAGGGTTGAGGCATGGCAGAAGAGTTAGTAAGGGAAACTCTGGGTATGATGCCGGTCGTGAGGTGACTAAGTGCTTCTCAAGTGACAGAGGAAGCAATGTCGGCCCGGCCTGCAGCCAGCGAGCACAGTAGTAAGTAGTAAGCATAGGCTGTACGGTTACAGGTTTAGTTATAGTCATAGGGGTATAAGCACAGCAACCCATTCCAGGGCACTTATCATTGTGCATATTGTCTACTTGCTGAGTCGCATGACACTTCTGCCACGGGTTGGCTTGTAGCACGTTTTCTGCCTTAGCCATAGCCTTCTGTGCATATGGTCAGTGCGTACCCATTACCCTTCCAGCAGTCCCTAGATGACACGAGAGCGATGAATGTGTTACCTTGTATCAGTACCCGCCAGCCTTCATCCCTGCATCCTATTAGCTTCATGATTTGCGACTGCAGCTCGAGCCCCCAACAAAGCAACAACATGTTTGTGTGTATATACATATATCTACATACACATATGATGTGTATGTCTACAGGTAGAAATACATGTAATGTGGAGTCTATAGGCCTTCAATCCCCGAAACTCTAAAGTCGTCCTGTCGCACTGCTGCATCCCTCGGTAGCCGAGGTGCCCGGCTCAACATTCCGTAAACTGGCTGTAGCGATCAGAAAACGGGCTTTTACACACAAAAAAGTCAAAAGCAGCGCTTTCAGAGGCAGCGTCCCTGCAAACGGCACCACCGGAGTTGGAGCCGACACCCGACTGCTTCGAGCCCACACGAGGACGGTCGGGCCACGATTTGTCCCAGATAAAGGCGGGCTTCCGGGGTTCACGGCGTAGGTATCATTGGGGTTTGGGGGATACTATTCCTGGGGTTCTCCATGATAAATGTAGCGTAATGTGCCCGAAACCTGATTCCTTCTGCTTCCAATTGCTGTACGATTTATATAGTAAAGATCCTGAGGTTTCTCTGTAAAACGCCCTAAAGCCCAACCTAAACCCGGAAACAAAACATCGGTGGACCCTGAGCCCAGTGCTCAAGCCCCGGGGCCTCACCTGTTGCCTCTTTTTCCCTGGTTCTTAGTAGGGAATGGGGGAATGGATCCCTATGATCGTCCCTTAAGGTCCCCTTATAGTAACTATAGCAGTCTCAATAGCCCATGCCCCCGTTTCCTACTAAGAACCAGTCAGTCTTGAGGCCTCCAGTGCGGCAGAGTGCCAGAAGCACTGCCAATGCATCTCGGCGCCATCCCTTTCACCTGGCTGATCCGTGGGCTAAAATGCTTTCGTGAAGGAACGGTTTAGGCTGCTTGTCATCAGGGTTTGGGCTCTCTGGTCGAGTTGTACTTTGGCTTTCTAGGGTCTAGCGGGACTGTTTTGGGTGCTTATGATGCTGCCTGTGTGCACCTCAGGAATCAGAGCTCAAAATCTCAGAGCTCCAAACTGGTTCAACCCGAAGTTTGCCAAGCACTAAGTCACTATAGGCCGTAGTACTGCAACTTAGCAGAAGCCAAAAGCCATAAGCGGGGGAACTCCGCGACTCTTCGTTGTCGGCTGCCTGTGAGCATGAAGAGCTATGCGCCGAATGTTATGCGTACCAGTGGCAGCAGGTGGGAGCTTCGCAAGACAGGGTACCTCAGTTGGGGTCCTCATGATAGGATTCCCATTTCTTTTAGGTGTTAGGGTTCGGGTAGCTTATCTGGGGTCCATAGCAAGATCGACCCCATTCATACTCAGCTGAGTTAGGGCTCTAAGTGGGGTTCCCGATGTTCTGAAACGCACAGGTATGCATCCGTTGCAGAGGCTGCCGCGCAGCAGAACCCTCAGGCGGTCGTCGAGATGCTGTCGCAGGGATACAGAGCAGAGGATCAGGACTCTGACGGCAACACCGCTCTCCACTATGCTGTATGGTTCAGACTAGACTCACTCCTCACCCCGTTACTGGAAAGAGGGGCGCGACCTGACATTCCCAATAATTCCGGAGAATGCGCAATACATTGGGCTGCGAACTCTTCCAATGTCGTAGCTTTGGATGCGATGACCAGGGCCAACCGAGCTCTCCTCTCGATCCGCGACTGTGATGGCTTCACTGCCTTCCTGTTGTCCGCACAGTCTGACAACAGCCCCGTGATGGAGTGGCTGTACCTCAAAGGCGTCAGCTTGGAAGAGCAGGATGACTGCGGCAGAACTGCCCTGCTATGGGCATGCCACAAGGGGAACAAGAAGACAGTCCAGTGGTTGCTCTCGCGATCTGCGAGCATTGCTCACCGAGACCGAGAAGGCATGACTGCACTTCACCAGGCAGCCCTGCAAGGACACACGCTTGTCGCAGAAATGCTCATGGAAGTCGGGGCGGTGCACCTGCTAGACGTCCCAGATAGCTCTGGCGAGACCCCGATTCAACTCGCAATGCGGAAAGGGAAGAGGCACTTGGTGCTTGACTTCCACAAGTGCCAGGCCTTCAACTTTCTGTTTGGCCGGCCCTACCTTTTCCAGACGAACTACGCAGGTCTCTTCCTCTGCTTCGTAGTGTATAACATCATCATTTTTGCTTTTGTCGTAGCACCGGGAATTGCGGCTAGAAACCCTGAAGCCGTCATGATTTGGTCGATGCTTATGGGTTTGTCACTGCTGCTCTGGGTGCGATGCCTCTTTTCGGATCCCGGCTGGCTTCAGCCACGCACCATGCAGTCCCAGACTCACCTGCTGGGCAAAGATCCAGCAAGGACATTTGATGTGGATCAGCCGATCGAGTCGCAGATGGCTCACTGCGACAGCCTTCTTCAGCAGCTGACCTGCACGTGCGATGGCGAGGTCCCGCAGCTCACGAAGCTGGAGCTAGAGCAGAACAAGTACAACTATCAGCGGCACCTCCTTCAAGAGGCGCGGAAACGATTGAAAGAAGGCTGTGGCCTAAGCGATCCTCGAAGCCCAGCCTTGGGCGAGTCGCAGCCCTTGATCGCCTCAAGCTTCAATGATGGCGGCTCCCGGCAGGGCCAGTTGGACCGAGCAACTGCGACCCTGCACGAGCGTGAACGTGCCGCAGTGGAGAATCTGGGCCGCGCAAGAGTGGAGCACTTGCTTTCACAAGGATCTGGCGAGTATCTGACCTTGGTGGATAAGGGCGACTTCAAGAAGGTGTGCATCATCTGCCGCGCGGTGCGCACATTTCGCTCCCACCACTGCAAAGAGCAAGGTCGATGCGTCGAGCGAATGGACCATCACTGTCCTTGGATAGACAACAGCGTTGGTTTGCGCAACCAAAGATCATTCTTCTTGTTCATTACCGTGCTTCTTTCCGCCCTCCTCTACTTCTACTACACAGTCTTTCTTTATGCATTCGACACGGTTTTTCCAGAGATCTCTCGAGGCTCCTTCGCTGAGCTTTTGCAACGCCTGACAAGTGGATCGCTTGGGGCAGAGTGCCAAGCACTTCTGGTTTTGGTTACGGCTGTTTTTGACGCAGTTTGGGTTTGCTTCGTCGGAATGCTGGTGGTCAGAACCACTGCCAACATGATGGTGAACCTAACTGCCTACGAAGTTTTGGTCAGACCCAGCCATGTGCTGCGACGCTTTCCCAAAACTCGAGGGGAGTATTGGTACCTCCAGGATTTCGGAATCAGATCTGCTTTGTACAACTCGATTCGCTTCTGGACATTAGACGACAGCGGTGATGCGGCGGCTTTCCGTAGAAGTCAAGAGGTGCAAGGCAAGCCTTCTCACTTCATGGAAGAGCCTTGAGATTGCTGACGGCATGCATGTAGCATATGTTAGAGTAAGAGGTTTTAAGAGTTTCACGCGGACGAATTTCGAAACATGGAATGTCGTCTCGCCGAACTGAGTGTGTGCACGGAAATCTAAGTAGAAACCTCTGTTGAGTCCGCTGGGGGAGTTCAATCTCTCGAGGAGCCTTGTAGTGCGGAGGCTTTGGTATAGTTTGGATGAGGGGGGGCCTTTTCTGATGGCCTTCGCAGAATATCTCTAGGATATTTCTCTGGCTTGTTAGAACCGTTGACTTATTCAACACTTAAGCCGGGTTTGATGGGTTTAGGTTCTGTTTGGGGTCCCTTGCAGCAATCATCTAAAGTTCGACGTGCATTTAGTCTTGGCGCCCCTGAGGAGGTAATCCTCCGTAGTTTTTGTTGGTGGTTTACGGGCCCAAGAGGACGCAAAGATGAAGTCTGGAAATCCAAAGACTCGCTTAGAGGGGGATGGGACCTTCCGGAGGTCGTTCCCCCTGATCGAGTCGTGGGCTGAAGGCTGCAGGCTTTCTGGGATGTGGGTTCACAGGTCAGCTTCTAGAGTTAGGGTTTCGTAGGCTAAATTTAAATGGTCGAGGCGGTAAGGGCTTAGGGTCGATCGATGTCAGGAATTGAAAGAGTCTTATTTATTAGGGGTTTATGAAGTTGTTCTGTGGACTGTCGACGGAGACTCGAAACTACCGCAATCCGAAGTTTGTCAAGCACTCAGGCGCCTAGCAAAAGCTCAAGGCTCCTTAGTTGTCGGCTGCCTCTGGGCATGAAGAGCTATGCGCCGAATCCCATGCCCAGCATTGGCGGCAGGTGGGAGTTTCGGAATCTACATAGCGCATTATGTTTCGGGTCATGATAAGAGTCCGATTGTTTAGGTTTCAGGGGTTATAGGGTTGGGTATCTGGGTCCGTATGATTACTAAGAAGATCTGTTATTTAGGGTTCGAGTTCCCGTTTTCTGAAACGCACAGGTATGCATCCGTTGCAGAGGCTGCCGCGCAACAAAACCCTCAGGCGGTCGTCGAGATGCTGTCGCAGGGATACAAAGCAGAGGATCAGGACTCTGACGGCAACACAGCTCTCCACTATGCTGTGTGGTTCAGGCTAGACTCACTCCTCACCCCGTTACTGGAAAGAGGGGCGCGACCTGACATTCCCAATAATTCCGGAGAATGTGCAGTACATTGGGCTGCGAACTCTTCCAATGTCATAGCTTTGGATGCGATGACCAGGGCCAACCGAGCTCTCCTCTCGATCCGCGACTGTGATGGCTTCACTGCCTTCCTGCTGTCCGCACAGTCTGACAACAGCCCCGTGATGGAGTGGCTGTACCTCAAAGGCGTCAGCTTGGAAGAGCAGGATGACTGCGGCAGAACTGCCCTGCTATGGGCATGCCGCAAGGGGAACAAGAAGACAGTCCAGTGGTTGCTCTCGCGATCTGCGAGCATTGCTCACCGAGACCGAGAAGGCATGACTGCACTTCACCAGGCGGCCCTGCAAGGACACACGCTTGTCGCAGAAATGCTCATGGAAGTCGGGGCGGTGCACCTCTTAGACGTCCCAGATAGCTCTGGCGAGACCCCGATTCAACTCGCAATGCGGAAGGGGAAGAGGCACTTGGTGCTTGACTTCCACAAGTGCCAGGTCTTCAACTTTCTGTTTGGCCGGCCCTACCTCTTCCAGACGAACTACGCAGGTCTCTTCCTCTGCTTCGTTGTCTATAACATCATCGTTTTTGCTTTTGTCGTAGCACCGGGAATTGCGGCTAGAAACCCTGAAGCCGTCATGATTTGGTCGATGCTTATGGGTTTGTCACTGCTGCTCTGGGTGCGATGCCTCTTTTCGGATCCCGGCTGGCTTCAGCCGCGCACCATACAGTCCCAGACTCACCTGCTGGGCAAAGATCCAGCAAGGACTTTTGATGTGGATCAGCCGATCGAGTCGCAGATGGCTCACTGCGACAGCCTTCTTCAGCAGCTGACCTGCACGTGCGACGGCGAGGTCCCGCAGCTCACGAAGCTGGAGCTAGAGCAGAACAAGTACAACTATCAGCGGCACCTCCTCCAAGAAGCACGGAAACGATTAAAGGAAGGCTGTGGCCTAAGCGATCCTCGAAGCCCAGCCTTGGGCGAATCGCAGCCCTTGATCGCCTCAAGCTTCAATGATGGCGGCTCCCGGCAGGCCCAGTTGGACCGAGCAACTGTGGCCCTGCACGAGCGTGAACGTGCTGCAGTAGAGAATCTGGGCCGCGCAAGAGTGGAACACTTGCTTTCACAAGGATCTGGTGAGTATCTGACCTTGGTGGATAAGGGCGACTTCAAGAAGGTGTGCATCATCTGCCGCGCGGTGCGCACATTTCGCTCCCACCACTGCAAAGAGCAAGGTCGATGCGTCGAGCGAATGGACCATCACTGTCCTTGGATAGACAACAGCGTTGGTTTGGGCAATCAAAGATCATTCTTCTTGTTCATCACCGTGCTTCTTTTCGCCCTCCTCTACTTCTACTACACAGTCTTTCTTTATGCATTCGACACGGTTTTTCCAGAGATCTCTCGAGGCTCCTTCGCTGAGCTTTTGCAACGCCTGACAAGTGGATCCTTTGGGGCAGAGTTGCAAGCACTTCTGGTTCTGGTTACGGCTGTTTTTGACGCAGTTTGGGTTTGCTTCGTCGGAATGCTGGTGGTCAGAACCACTGCCAACATGATGGTGAACCTAACTGCCTACGAAGTTTTGGTCAGACCCAGCCATGTGCTGCGACGCTTTCCCAAAACTCGAGGAGAGTATTGGTACCTCCAGGATTTCGGAATCAGATCTGCTTTGTACAACTCGATTCGCTTCTGGACATTAGACGGCAGTGGTGATGCGGCGGCTTTCCGTAGAAGTCAAGAGGTGCATGGCAAGCCTTCTCACTTCATGGAAGAGCCTTGAGCTTGCTGACGGCATGTAGTGAATGTAGATCAGAGTGAGAATTTGAAGAGTTTCACGCCGACGAACTTCGAAACCAGGAAGGGCGTCTCGCTGAACTGAGTGTGTGAGCAGAAATCGAACTCTCGTTTCAATCAGAGCCTTTGAAGAATGCTTGTAGGCTACGTCTGGCTTTCAGATAGGCCCGACAGGACTGTTCGGAACACGGGTATCCTTCAACCCTGTTCAACACTTGCTGGGTTTGAATTTGTTAGGTGCTTGCTCGAGAGCACATAAGGACAAAGCCATGATACGCACGCACGAGGGATGCTACCTTCAAATGGTTTGGTTTGCGACCCTGAAATGGCGTACTCAGATAATTCGCAAGTTTCAATAGTGGAGGATTTATCGCATCCAAGGCACGGAGCACTGCAGCTTCTTCACTTACTGGAAGGACGGAAACTGCTACGCTGCTTGGCTCGATGAGGACTCTGCGACATGATATCAAGCCTACGTACTTCCAACATGGCCTGCAGCAGACATCCTTGGTTCTCAGCAGACCGGTTGTCTAGTTCGTTTGAGAGCTAGAGCCTGCAGCTTCTCGCTGTCGGAGTTTGCCCCAAGGTTCCAGCACGCATCAAATGCGAGCCCTAAGCGAAAAGTGCGTCGGGGTTTTGATCTGCACTACTGTGCTGGGGTTTGGGTTTGGGGCCAAGGACAGGCTCCGAGTCGAAAAGCTTCAGGATACGGGTTCAGGTGAAGCCTTACGTGAACCCTATGGCCGCCTATGGCCCTATGGTATGAGATGGCGCGTGGCCTTCAGAATACGGAGGCTTCTGCCAAAATCATTGCTCCCAGACCTGCAGCCCTCACGACCATAAAGACCCAGGTTGTTGGCAGATAGCCTCAGGTTTTGAGGTGCTCGGATCCTGAGGGCAAGCCTCAACCCTGAAACCTTGCACAATGTAGGGTCCTACATAATTACCAATACTATTTTGGGGGGGTTCCTTATTATAGATAGAGTATACTGGGCTCCAACACCCTATTCTAATCATTAAGGCCCGTATAGCAAGCGTGACGGCTAACCCCAGAGAATGAGATCTGACAGGCCCAGACGGACAAAGCCACGGAGATGAGCCACCGGTCTGTTCAGAGTTTTTTGTTCAGGGATTTCAGGACCAAGAGGCTCTGCTCTGGACCTGAAAATCCGGCTAGAGGTCTTGGGGTTTAGGGCCGTTAAGGGGTTTTGTGGGTGCAGGGACTTCAGATCTTGGGCTTGCCGGTTGCTTTTTGGGTTTGCTGAAGATTCAGCCTTTTTCTGTCCAGGCCCTCGGGCTTTGCAGTGGCCCTTGGCCTTGGGGATGCTCTTTAGACTGCCGGGTTTGAGCACTTCAGGCTTTCGGATTTCAGGATGGAGGCAAGCTCAGAATCTGCAAAACCAGCCAAGATTCCCCGACTCCGAGCCCGATCACCGACAGCATGCCCGGAAACATACCTGCCCACAAACACGAGTTGTTGAAACAAGCTAACCCACTAAGATGTTTAGGGGTCAGGGCAAGGCATGCGGCAGCCTGAAGCATCTTTGCCCCTGACCAGAGGCCTTGGATTATGTTGCAGAAGAGTCCCTGAATTGCTTATGAAGGATCTTGGAGCTTAGCATTAGCTAGTAGCTGGACCCTCATTAAGCTGTAAACGCTAACGTCTTAAAGGACTCGAATAAACAACCGCAAGAAATATAGGTTACTCACGGTTCAGGTAGGTCATGGCAAAGGAGGCTATCGGTGCCTTGAGTTGGACTGCCCAACTTTGATTCTGGTACTGCGAAAATCCTACATACATACTTACTAGATCCCGAGGTCCGCTGTACGGCATCCTTCCAGAACATTCAAAACCACATCTTGGGGCCCCTTGAAAAGTCCTGGTTGCCCTCAACCTAGACTGACCAAGACGTATCAAAACCCATGTAGAGGCCCTGTTATCACTCCTTCACACTTGAGCTGTTGAGCCCTACTTACCATTCCCAGATTGATAGAGCATAACTCCTCATCATCCCCCNNCACCCCCCCCCCCCCCGCCCTGTACGCGCCAAACGACCCTGGACCCTGAACCCTGTACGTTTTCATCCAAGCCGCCCCTAGAGGCCTGAACACTCCTCCAGTCCAAGGAGCCACAAAAGCACCCTGGTAAAGCCTTTCTCAGCGTGATATATCCTCAGCCCAAGACGCAAGTTCTCAGCCCTGTAAAAAATTCTTCCTAAACCCGAAAACCGCTTATAAGGCCTAAACTGTAGAAGCCACTAAACTCTAAACCCAAA